GACGCTTCCGTCCAAAAACTTAATTTCTATAATGCCTCGAGTGAGCACCAATTTACGAAAAAAAATTCATGTCATTCTAATTTTGTTTAAGCAACTGATCTGTAAGAAATTTTCCCTGAATTTCAAGTTATTTTCGGAATCTGAATGATGATTTATAGGATTTTTACACGAGCGTATCGTAGTCTGATAGTACTGTGTAATTTTTCCCAGCCAAGTATCAAATAAAAGTTCTACCTTGGTGGCTTTTTGAATTGTTAGGCTGCAATAGCACTATAAAGTCATATGTACTCGGAAATTTGATTAGTAAAAAGTTATTACAGTTGTTGCTTTTTTAATTCATCAGTTGAGCCAAAAAAAGCTAGTTGTTTCATGCAACAGTATAATAATTAAAATTCCCTTTCAGTAATCTTCCAAATTCTTCATACTTCGAAAGATTTTTGAAATGAATAATTTATACGCAATTTCGTTTAATACCTACGAATTTATTAAATGCATAGTTAGTTTGGTTGCCTTCAGGTTTTTACTTTTCAATTTTTCACATGCGATGTTTGAGTTTTTGTGCATTTTAAAGCTCCTGATTTTTTGAGGCTTCCTGGGTTGTTTTTGCTAAGTCGTAGGTTCGCCTCACTATCGAAATTTGTTTTTTTTCTCATCGTGGATCTAATTTAAATGTTTTTATTTTCATAAATAGGTATATCTGGCTAAGTTTTTTATCGTCAGTGTATGTTTTATCGGCTCCTTTGGCTCAAGTTGCGTCGTGCGCGGGTGAAATATTGCTTCTTGTGTAAAGAATTGCATTCCAAAGAATCATTCAAGTTTTAGTGTTCGAACCGTTATAGAAATGATACATACTGAACGTTATGAAAGTAATAAAACCATGGCATCATTTTGCTGCCGAATGAGCTTATTGGGCCGAAGTGTATTTTTGGCTTATTTTCCGCTTCTGTTCCTGCACACTAGTGAGCTTAATCTCTAGGTAGCAGTTTGGAATCCGTCGCGTATGAGAATTATTTTAGTAATTCCAGACTTATTTCTACTTTTTGTACCGACCATTTGAAAAATGAAGTGGAACTTTCTATTCGGGGGTTTTATTTTATGATTTTTTTTCATTTTCCTTGCAATATCAGCTACCACAAATAGCAATCGAAGAGATTTGAATAATATATCATTTTAAAAGCCTTTCAGTCGTGATTCGAAGATTAAAAAAATTTCAACAAAAATTGATAGTGTCGAGAAAAACCAGTTTGAAACTTTTATTTTTCGTCTTATTTCGAGTGAGCGAGTATTCTTCCAATAATTAATTTATCAGCTTAAAAGCTTAGGATTGCTCAATTGAAGCGGTAGAAACAGAGTTTTACTTGACTAAATTAGTTTTTCTAGTATTTTTGAGCCTTTTTGGGAACAAAAATGTCAAAAAACAAAAAAAAAGTTTATACTTCTTTTTATTTTTTCATACTATGCTTATTTTACTATGACTGTCGAGTATGCCTCAGCTCTAATTTTCGCTCAAATCCTTTTTATCACATCACTCAGAAAAAAAACTACCATTATTTGAATTTTTTTTTGTATTTTAAGACTGATCGTAACATTCTGTGCTACTTGCACAGTAACCGGCTATCCTTGTTCTTATCACACACCCTATCTTTGTTTTATGTATTTCAAGGCGATTTCTCTTTCTTGACACGTTGAAGCTTTTCCAAATTACTAGTTTTTGCATGTTTACCCAATGATTTTTTTCACGTTCTTCCAATTTGATTTCAGTGGTTACTTCTTCGACTTTAAAATTAGCAACCCAATAGTAGAATGCCGCCACGTTTCCCCAAGAGGTTGCAAATTTGGACTCGAAGAATGAATAGCCAAATCCTAGCTTACGTCATACGACAGTTTTTGTCATTTTTCTTCAAAATTTTTCAAAAACTTAGCTTTGTAGATTGGGGCTGTCAGATCACTCTCAGGAATGCGAATCTCGCGTCCAAATTTGGCTGCTCAGATCCTTGTAGTTTTTCAGATATGACGGTTTTTTTTGATGATTTCTTTTCAATTTTCAGAAAAACTTAGATGTAAAAAATTCAAAAGATTTAAACCTCCCAACCCTGTAGTTGGGAAGTGTTAGATAAATATCGGGATTTGCAAACATTTCGTTTAATTGCGCCTGCTCAAATGCTTTCAGATTCCGGGTTGAGACATTGTTCTTGTCATTCTAATTTTGTTTAAACATTTTATATGTAAGAAAATTTCACTGAATTTGAAAATTCTATCTCTATAGTGAGATACTGTCAGCGTACTTTCAGTGGTTGTAGATTTTGCCTCCGAATACGACTGCTTAAGTTCTTGTAGTTTTCTAGACGTCTTGTAGTTTTTCTTGACGTTTTCATAATTTTTCTAACATTTGCAGGTTTTAGATTTTAAAAAATTCAAAAAAAATGAATTTCTCAGCCCTGCTGTCAAGTACTGTGAGGGTACTCACAGGGGTTGCAAATCGTGCGTTCAATTGAGATTGCTCAAATGCTTTTAGTTTCCGAGATGTGACGTTTTTTTTGTAATTTTTTCAAAAGTTTTCAAAGAATTTCATACAAATAAATTCTTAAATTTTGAAATTCTCAACCTTAGAAAGAGACACCCTTATTGTCGTGCCGTTGCGAATCTCGTCTCTAACTATGAATGCAAATTTCAGTTTCCGAGATTGACATTTTTCCTGTATTTTGAAATTTTTTCTGGAAAGTTAGGTTTAAAAAAATGAAAAAATGTGAAATCCTATAGTAGTTTGCGCTCATGTTACGCTCAGTGGTTGCAGATCAGGCCTCAGAATGTCCGAGGCCCTTCAAGTTTTCGAGATATGACATTTCTATTATTTTTCAAAATTTGACAATAAAACTATAACTTTTGAAATTAACAGTTACCTGTAATTGGGTGAGGTCAGAGTATACTAAAAGGCTGCAGATCTTGTTTGCTAAATATGCTTTTTTTCACGACTAGCGACAAATTCGAAGCACCGGAGGTGCGTTACACGCTTGTTATACTTTAAAGACCTGTTTTTTGTCATGAATTGAACAACGGTTGGGGCAATTTGTGATATTAATTATCGAAAGAATTAGTTTTATTGACTTTTTTTTCTCCCACTTTATTGATTTTCAAATTTTTGTCTACCAGCTGGATGTGCTTCGTTTGCGATATGCCTCAAGTGGCGCGAAGCCGCGCTCCGCATCTGTGTAAATAATTTTTGTGTCGAACGGTAAATAAATGCCCTGTTTCACGATGAATAATTAAAATATTCCATTTTGTGTCATTTTGCTGCAGAATTTATTTTCGCCGCAAGATTCTCCGATTATAGGTTCGATCCTATTAAAACAGAGCCGGTATAAATAATTAAAAGGTTTTTATGAAAATCTAGACGCGGAACAAATAAGTTGTCAGTAAAGATATTAAAACGCCTGTGGAATCAAATAAATTTCAACGCCTGTGGAATCAATGAATGAAGGGTGTCCCACTCATCAACCCCACGATATTTAACCCCATATGTTTATACTTCTTATTTTATAACCCCGTAACAAGATACCTCCACAACAATTTAACCCCCTTTTAATGACGATAATTTGTTTCAAATGAAGTCCTTTTTATAAGTACAGGAGTAGTCCAATTAAATGTACTAATTGAGGCCTGAAAAGCTAGTCTTAATTCACTTGATGCCTCTAGCATCTCAAAAATAATTGCATTTCGATTAGTTAGAGAAATAATTCATCACTCACGCGTTTAAAACGGAGATAACCTACATGGTGCTAATTGAAGGCAACAAAAGAGGTTTTTGAGTTTAATAAAAAAAAAATCATACTGCCTATGTCTTTAACTATAGTAGACCTGAAAAAATTTTGCTGGATTTTGAGCAAAAAGACGCTTCCGTCCAAAAACTTAATTTCTATAACGCCTCGAGTGAGCACCAATTTACGAAAAAAAATACCGGGTCTAGGGGCTGGCAAACCCTTTAGACATTGCGTTGTATACCGACAATTCAAAAAAAAGTTGACTAAGTTGAGATGGTTCGAAAAAATAGTTATGTTTTACTTAAAATGATCGGTATTTCAATTTAAAATGGTCCGCTTAGATCAACTTTGGGTCACAACCAGTTCTCATTCCATATTTTATTTAAATTCATCCAATAAATCTTTTATTGGCAGGAACTGTTTCAAGATCAAGTTCAGTCAGGAACTGTTTCAAGACCAAGTACAGTTTGAGAACTAATTTGAATCATGTCGGTCGGATTCGTTTTCAACTTCATATCAAAGTCTAGACTATCGGCAAGGTCATTTCTGTTCAAATCTAAATCGCATTTAGCAGCGTGCATGTTAATTCATTTTGGTTCGCAAAATTTTTTGCAATTAAAGCTTTGATGTTTACCGACGATATGGTTCCGAATCCCTTTCAAGTAAATTTCACTTTGATTCTAACAATTGGAATTAAAAAGGGATTAAATTGTAGTGGGGTTATCTAATTTTGGGGTTATATGAGAAGGGGTTAAGAAAAAGGTGGTTGAAAAACATGGGGTGATAAGCTTGGGAACCATTTTTGGCACATTTTTCCGCTTCACCACTCTGTAAGTAATTATCTTTTGATCCAATTTTCTGAAATTGGGGTAAAATATTTCAAAAAGTTTCTTATCGCTCAAGATAATTGAAGCTTGATTTCATTTGATCATCGTTGATGTAATCTTTCCGAAAATTAAAAAAATAATAAAATAAAAGTTTATTTTTTTGTTTTCTCGTGCTGATAAATAATTTTCTTTTCGTTTGTTGGCTATGTTTCCTGATGGAAATGATACCCACTGAACGTCATAAAAGTGCGTGAGTTTGTCAATTTCTCATTTTCAAAAATTGTAGAATTATCTACAAATAAGTTTCTAGAATTATCATTTACAATTTAAGTTTCTAGAATTATCATTTACGAAAATTTTGATCCATTTTGGACTAAGCACTTAACAATCTGAAGTGAATCATATTTCATTTCAGAATGCGAAGGTGGCTCTTCGGCATTGGTACGACAAACACAAGCACATCTACCCAGCCAGCAGATGGGACGCATTCGATGCAGAGAAGATGCTCACTTCGCCAAACAGCACCAGTGGCACCTCCTCATCATCCCAACAGACAAGTGCTGCGTCTACTTCAGCAGATATGAAACCATGATTATGTGAAAAAATCCTAAACAAGTTCGAGTTATCTTTTTAAATTGTTGATGTAACGTGTTTGTTATCTAATTGCTAGCCAACGTTAATATATTGGTAATATTGAATATTGTGTTGATCATTTTTGGCACCAGCAATGTTAAGCAGCAACATAATGTGTAAGCTTTTTAAAGGGAGGCAATTGTTAAAGGAAATCGTTTGGTACAATGTTTAAAGGAAAGGCATGAATAACTTTCAAGTTTAAAAAGGGATATATTTATTATGTCAAAGCAAAATGTCTATAACCAGGCAGTCAGAACGTTCAGGGTCTCGCCTTGATACGAGCAGTCTTGTCGTTCCCACTTTCGTACCGAAAGAAACGGAATAATTGTGCTCGGGGTGGTTTTTTTTCTTCAGACAAATTCCGACTTTTAATCAGCAATTTTTGACGGAATTTTCTTTTTCATTCAAAAAGTTTTGTTATCCTGAACTTGAATTTGAAAAGCTTTTTCAGTTGTGATCATTTTTTGTAAAGTTATGAGGGTTTAAAAATTGCCAGTTTGGTCAATTTGGGAAATATAATGCGCAATATATTTCGCGCAATTAATGCGTAAGCGGAGATTTAATCCGTCTTAGAAATCGCTCCAAATCTTAGAAATCGCTCCAAATTGGTTGAAGGAAGCTTATTTGCCATAATTGATATGTTATTAAGAGTGAAATTTATCATTTTGTACTTCATATGGCGTGTGGGAGGATGGTTTTCACAAAAATTGCGAAGTAAAAAAAAATCATTTTGTTTTAATTAACATTAAATTTTGTCATGTTAGTAATTAATTGAGGCATGTGCAATTGGTAAATTTTTCTTTTCAAATTGACTGTTATTGCTAATGCGTCGTAGCGTTATTGGTCATATTTTGCTTGTGTATGCGAAGTGCAACTTCGCCTCTGTGTTTAATTATTTGTTGTTATAAAAACGCCCACAAAAGTAAGTTGTCCGAACGGAAACTGAACGTATATGTAAGTTTTTTTTTTGTTTAAAACTTTTAAATTCTTGCCAACCGATTCGCTCAATAGAGAAGCATTGAATTTTTAACGAGTTTTATTTCGCAATGAGCTCGCTAGGAGCAAGGTAACTTTTTACAAAGCGATTGGCGCTATGGAATTAACTTAGAATTTTACTAAATCTTTATTGCGTGATGGACTTGCTTGAAATAATTTCAATCTTTTACTGGTCGATTTCCGCTATGAAATACCTTGAAATATTTGGAGTTATAATCGATGAATATCTTGGCTTGCAGAAATCTAGTTTTTTTGCGAACTAGCTGGCGCTATAAAAGATTGAAATAATTCCAAGTTGCATCGCTTTAAATCAGAGTTACAACTTAAAGCAATTTAAGTTTGTGCACTAACTGAAGCCATGTAGCTTGAATATCTTGCTTAGAATTTTTTCGACAATTTACATAATTACGCTTGCGATTAGCGAGCGTTATCAATCTGGAATATAGACTTTTTTCTAGTTAACAACTAGTTTGGACAAAATCACTGAATCATTTCGCAGCATTCAATTCTGCAGCAACAAAATATGCTCTATTTCTTGGAAATTCAAATTTAATTACTGGGTACGGAAGATTCTAATAGACGGCTAAAAGACTAATGTCGAATCCGGTCAGCACCTAAAATTTTTAATACCAAAAAATGATTGGCCTATGGGTTGTCTGCTTATAGTTTGTCGGCTTAGTTGCCCCATTTTTTTTTACTTTTCTTGTGTAAGATCTTTTTTTCGTAACTGAAGTGTTTTTATGATTATTTGATGTAATTTTCTTAGCCATCTGTAATTTAAATTGATGTTGCTTTATTATCGAACCCTAGCAACTTCAAGGCCTCATCGCTTTTGGTCTGGAGGTAATATAAAGTTAAAAACATTCACGCATTCACTCAGCTGATAACTCGTAGTTAGACGCCAATTAACCCGAAAACAAAAAATGTCACAAGAAATTGTTCTTACAAACATTTGAGCGATTAAAAAGTTCGAATTTGTCAAGAACAATTTCTTGTGACATTTTTTGTTTTCAGATTAATTGGCGTCTAACTACGAGTTATCAGCTGAGTGAATGCTTGAAAAATAGTAAAAGCTTGTTTTATGCTAGTGGCTGTGTTTCTCGTCAGTTTTTTTTCAGATTGATAATTTCGTATTACCAAAAAACTGAAATTTTTGGATCAATTGGCGTCTAACCACGCTCGGAAAATACTAAAAGCGTGCTCTTTGCTGGTGGTTGTGTTTTTCTTCTGTTTTTCCGTGATCGAGTTTTTGGTATTTTCAGTTTTTTCCACTTGGTTGTTTCCATCTCACTGACCATATAGTAGCTTGCAATGGTACGCTTTTGTTGTATCGCATTTGATGCGCAGCTCCGCTCCGCCCCCGTGTTAAATATTTTGAACTAAGTCTTATGTAAGACTACGTAGTTTTATCGCTTGATGAGCTGGTCTAGAATGAAAATATTTTTTTTGCAAACTGATTTACGCTATCAATTAACTGAAATCTTATCAATGTTTCATCGCTTGATTCTGGTTTAGAAATCAACATTTTTGTGAGCTGAGTCAAATTATACAATGAGCTCTATAATTTCAAAGTCTTGAATAGCTTGCTGCTTGAAAAATTCTCTTTTTTGCGCAGCTGCTCAAGCTAACGAGGCAACTTGAAATAGTTGCGAATTTCATTGCTTCAATAGTTAGCCGAAAAGATTTCATTTTATGGTCAGCATTGAAAAGTAAAAACTAACTTAAAGTTTAAAGTACTAAATCTTCTCATTGTTCGAAGAATTTTCAGAACTCCAGAACTTTTTTCGCTGCGTTTAAAGCTATCAAAGAAGTTGTACTGAACAAAACAGACTATCAAACTAATTTTCTAGCAAAAACTCCCAGTGTTTCATTTTTTTGAAAAGCTTGCTCATAAAAACCTATTTTAGCAAATCTTTGCAAGCTATGAAACCAAATTGATTTTTTCAAGTTTGCTTGATTGAAAACATTGCTTGAAAAACAAACAAATGATGCCTCGCTATCAATTCATTTTTTCGAATATTATGAAAGTTTTGTCATTCGAATATCTTGCCTGAAAAAGTCGGTATTTGTTGCGAAGCTACTGCATCGAGTTGAAATTACTTGAATCCAAATTTCCAAAGGTGAGCAGTCTTCTCAAAAAACTATTGTGAAGAACTGATTGAAGCTATCTAAAGAAGCTAAAAGTTTATCGTCGCTGGAACATCTTTATTGTGAACAATTTTCTGCAAATATGGTCGAAGTTATCAACGTGAAATTTTTCTTCGATGTTTTTTTTTTAAATGGCTTCTAGCTATCGAAATTTTTACCTAGCAACTTTCATTATTCCGGTATAGTTGCTATATAATTTTGTTTTTCACGTGAATAACTTGCTATTCTTTTATTTTTAGTTTTTTTTTCAATCGATGCAAGAAAGACTAACTTAGAGTTTTTTAAAGTTTGATCTCTTGAATAGCTTGCTGCTTGGGAGCTTCTTTTTTTGCGCAGCAGTTCAAGCTAAGAAGGAAACTTGAAATGTTTCCAAGTTTCATCTCTTTAATAGTCAACTGACCAAACCAATCATATAAGTTTCAAACCTCAATGCTAGTTTGAACTTTTAATCAGATTGTTGAATTTCTTTAGAAAGATGGGCTTGCTAATTAAACTTTTAAAACCAGTCACATTGTTTTTTTGGCCTAAGTAGGTCGCATAGTCATTATTCACAAGCCTATAAAATCAGTGAACTCCCGGTTACGCTACCAAGTTGAAGTTTAACTAGTGTGGGGCGAAATTTTAGTTGAATGAGCCCAAACTTTTGTCAGTGTTATTGTAGGGATATTTACACTCATTGATTTGAACGTGTGCTTTTTTCAGCACTTAGGTTAACACTGTCTGATTGAAATAAATTGTGTATTTGAACTAAATACCGAAATCCAGACATACTTGATCTCTACGTGCAACCTTGTAAAACCACTAATTGCACCATCAATTTAATGTTTATGCTATATTGGGGAAAGTTCAAAAATGTGAAACTCACCTCCGAAAAAAGCCAGTTGTCTACCCCATATGATGGCTGTTCTTCTAGCTAGACTTTGTGGAGGCAACGACGAAAAGGATATTATGTCTAGCTTTGTTCTGCTACATTTACATTTGGATAATAATTTGTTCAGTCGAAACATTGTTGGGATAAGGGCCTAAATTGATAATGTACTTAATTTAGTTTGGTATGAGGTAGAACTTGGTCAGTTAAATATTTAAAAAGCTGAAAATTCAGTAAGTCTTTTTGCTGGCTTTCAAAAATTAACACCACATTTAATCAAGTATAGCAATCTGAAAAATGCACCTGAGCTCATTTTGCCCGGCTATTCTCGAGATTAAATCGATATAGGTTTCCTCCAGAGTGAATTTACATCCTGCGAAAGGTATTTGCTATTATTTTTGAGGCAGATTGATTCAGTTCCTTAGTGGTATTCCTTTTGGGTAAAGTTGATTGAATTTTTGGACCTGACAGGACTCAGGAAATATGATACAGAAGGTAGCTATTGTCAGCTTTTTTGCATCTCAAGTCGGCTTCTATGAAAATTTCATGGTATAAACACTAGGATGCTGCCTGTGATGGACAATTTCATAGGAAATATTTTACGCTAGTGGAAAAAGTACTGATGTTTTTGACTGTAATTTTGAAATGTTTAGAAGACTTGGCTGAATTGTTGACATTTAATTAGATGCTTAGTAGTTTTCATTTCAGATAAATTTGTCGCAACTGAATTTTGCCGAAAACTCGCTCGATAATTTCAGAACTCTGATTCTTTGTGGACAAAAACCATTTGGTTGCTTAGTGAAGCAGTCTTTGTTCCTTTTTGTAAGTGCAATGGCCTTTTCTGACCCGCGAGGAGTGTTGACAACAGAGCAGATCCAGGCAATCCAAGTGGCCACCCAGGGCAAACTGCTGGACCCTGCCACTGAGAAATCCCTCCGCTCTGTTTTTGTGGGCAACATCCCCAATGACGTCACAGAGGATCAGCTGAAGGAGATATTTAGTCAAGTGGGACCTGTGCTTAGCTTCAGAATTGTGTACGACAAGGTAAAGCCTTGCTCACACTACCAGCCTATTCTTAAATTTTTTTCAGGCTATGGAGAACCAATGAATAATTACGTGTTTAAAATATTTCGCGATTCTTTGTGATGAATAAAAGTTGTTATAGATGCTTGATTCCAAGTCAGCGGTTGGCTCTTCTACCGTTACACCACACCTAAAAAAGGTCGACAGAATTTTCGAAAATTTTTAAAAATGCGATCCCCCTTGAGAAAATCCTAGATCCGCACCTGACCACATCCAACGTCAATTTTTAAAGTTTCAATTTTTGTTGACGTTTTCCGATTGTCACGAAAATTGGCATGTGGTTTAATTTCTTAAATTCAAACATTTTTTATCTTCATGAACAGCCTCGTAAAATCAATGGTTACACCATTAAAATGGTGTTTTCATCTTGTTGTGGGGAAACAGTAAAAGCACTGTAGTTTATTGAGAATTCTAAAACTCCGAAGTGTTTGAATGTCGTTCCGAAATTTACCCTGATTAGATGGTAAATCTGAGGAACCCGATCCTACCAAAACATTAGCATAGTCTTTTCGGATCAATTTTGAAATACGTGTCACATTGCTGAGCAGAGTATCAGGAGGTCGATTCTACCTTTCTTTGAAGTTGACCGATAACTTCGTCGTTGGTTATATTTGTTCATAATGCTATTTCTTCTATTTGAACCTTTTGTTCGTACTATCACTTCATTTTACAAGTTCATCAAAAGACAGCCAAGAAGCAATTATCAAAAGCATGTTGAACTTAAAATTGAATTTGATTTTTTTTAGGAAAGTGGCAAGGCAAAAGGATACGGTTTTGCTGAGTACCCAGACCAGGAAACAGCTCAGTCGGCGATGCGCAATCTGAACAACTACGATCTAAGTGGTCGTATTTTGAGAGTCGATCACGCTAGCAGCGAAAAGAGCAAAGAGGAGTTGCGTCTCCTAGCTCAGGCGGTAACTGGAAAACAAGAAGAGAGTCCTTACGGAGATGCAGTTGAACCAGCAGAAGCGCCGGAGGAAATATCCAAGGCAGTCGCTAGTTTGCCTCCGGAACAGATGTTTGAACTAATGCGTCAGATGAAAGCGTGTATCAAAAACAACCCTGTAGAAGCGAGAACCATGTTGTTGCAGAATCCTCAATTAGCATATGCTTTACTGCAGGCCCAAGTTGTGATGAAAATAGTTGATCCAAAAGCGGCAGTTGAGCTTCTTCACAGGGTGTCTACCAAAGTAGATGCAATTCGACCAATGCAGAATATAGGTCCTCAAGGTCCCGGTGGTTTCCAGGCGAATTTAATGCAGCAAATGCACCCGGTTGCTAACAACCCGAACATGCCTCCATCAGGTCCAGAACCCTGGCGACAGAATACGCCCCAGGATCCTAGAGGAAGACCAATGCCGATGGATTTCCAGGGTCCGAACCCAGGGATGTTGGGCGGTCCTGGTTCGGCGGGTGGACCAGTTATGCCTATGCAGATGCCCGGTCAGATGCCTCCCCCACAACCGATGCAGCCTCCGGTCCAACCTTTGGATCCGAGAGCTCGAGTTGGAGGAGTAGCTGGACCTCAACCGGTTCCATCGTCTGGCGCTCCTATGGGAATGGGAGTTCCGGGAGGCGTACCTGGAACCTCGGCTGGAGCAGATGGCTCTGTGGCTGCTGGAGGAAACACAGATGCGGAGAAGGCAAAGGTAATCAGCCAGGTTATGAAGCTGACAGATGCACAGATTAACCAATTGCCACCCGAACAGAGGCAGAGTATCATTGCTTTACGTGAACAGATAATGAAGTCACAACAGAAACGATAGAAACTTACTTTAACTTGTTCGATTTTACTTTGTAAACTGTTGAATATCTTTGTTTTGATGTTGTATGCTCCATTGATTGTAAATTAAAAGTTTTCTTAACGCATTAGGCAGCGTTTTAAGATAGGGTTATTAAGGTTTCTTGAGAAAAACCCTAAAACCTAAATTTCAAACAGGCCATCTCAAATCTAGGATAAACATAGTTAGGTAAAACACTAAGTATGGTTATTGATAAGTCAGAAATTTTGATCTTCAAGCAATGCGAGGTCGATGAATTGATGAATCTTCAGGCAATGCGAGGTCGATCAAGAGTCGTTTGTGTTGGCATTCGAAAGCTTAAGCAAGTTTTTGTAGTAATGTGAACGATCATAGAAATATATCCACTGCGCGAGAAGTTTCTTAGGAAGACCCGGAGACATCTTTTTCCCTAAAAAAATAGCACTTGAAACCTGAGCCCAATTTTTGTTGCTTTGGATTTAGTCGAGGTTGAAGGTAACTAAAAGTCAGGAGCATTAATGTTAACAAAAGTTTGGGTTATTTGATTATCGTAAATCGAAGAACAGTTAGCCCCTACAATTGATCCATTTTTGTTTTGATTTGTTCAATGTAAAACTATTAACCGATTTCGGCAATTTTTCATCACCGAGTTGATATTCATCACCAAATTGATGAACAACACTAATAGAGCTTAAATTCTTGACATTCGTTTTCGTGTTTTCATTTAAATTTGGGACATATTAAAAAAATGCAGTTGGTTTTTCAGTTTTGTTCGTTGTCAGGATAACTAATGAGGAGTTTTTTTTATTTAGTCAAAAGCAAAAGAAATTTAAGACAGCAAAAAAATCTGATATAATTTTTTGATATAGTCAAAAGCAAAAGAAATTTCAGACCGAAAAAACTCCGTTATATAAAGAATTTTACAAGGATTTATAAGGATTCAAGATAATTGATCGGTCTTTTGCGGATTTGTTACCAATCCGACGTCTCGTAATCTTGGAGGTGGAAATTGGCTATCGATAAATGCTGTCTGTTGGCTATCGATGAGTGTGATCGTTATCATTGCGGTAACTTGAAAAATGAAGTTTGGGCTTTTTGATAGACTATTTGCAAGTTTTGTCAATTTTAACAAACAAATTTTAAAAAGAACTCTTTATTGGTAAGGCTTATAGTTTGACACGTTGTGTTACATGATTTTTGCTAGCCACGAAAACAATTTTATTTAGTTTCAAGGAAGCGTACGTTTTGCTTTTCAGGCCTACTGATTTCTCAAAACTGGATCCACGAAAAACCTATTTTACAATTTTATCAACACTCACAAATTCTCGTATATTTAATTTATAAATGATATTTTTGGGGGTACATAAATGAAATGTCTCCACATAATTTAGCTTTGTCAATCATTTCATGTTGCGCTGGTACAAAATCGCAAAATTACCGGATTTTCTCCCACACAAAAGCGCTAGCCAAACTTCGACCGGTTACGAGCCGGTGGCTAGCTATTTTCTTACTGTTGATTTCAAAATTCAAAAAATGATGGACAAACAAACAATTGCAGGTTTTCTGTTCGTTTTTTGTCGTTAGATAATTAGAAATATTTAGAGGCTTTTTATTGCAATCAAAAATTGTATTGAATGAACAGCTCCTTACCAAAGCATTTTTGTTTTATAAACATAAAAAACATATTTTTCTTCAATTATTATTGAAACAAATTTTCAAAATTATTTAATTTTGTTGCTATATACATGCGTGAATTTCACAAAGATTTAAACAAAATTGGACTGGATTGACGGAAAGCATTGGTTATTAAGGAAAGCATTGGTTAGCAAGCCCAGAATGTTCCGACTGCTTATTAAGGTCTACGGAGCAGTAAAAACAAAGCAAAAATTAAATACAAAAATACAATGAGTTTTTTTTTTGTAAAAATTATCCTCCCAAACGCCATATAAAATACTAAGTGATAGATTTCTACAAAGTGATAGATTTCGCTTGAGCGATTTCTAAGACGGATTAAATCTCCTCTTACGCGTTAATGGCCAAAATGGCAATCTTTAAACCACCATAACTTGACGAAAAATGATCCTAGGTGAAATATGTTTGAAAATTTAAGCTCAAGACAACAATATCTTTTGAATGATATAACAAAATTCCGTCAAAAATGGCTAGTCAAAAAATTCAAATTTGTCTGAAAAAATCACCACGAGCACAATTTTTCCGTTACTTTCCTTACGAAAATCGGAACAATAAAAGTTTCGAATACAACCTTCAGGAAAAATTTTCAGAATTAATTTAAGGGCCTATCTTTTCAGTGGCTAGCTTCTGAATGAATAGCTCTAAGACAGGCGAAGCTGCACGCTGTTAAAAACACAGCCGATACATTGGCGAAAAGTTTCTCTGAAAAGTAGGAATGAACAAAGGAAAAGAGTTAAAAACATAGCCAACTGACAGTTGGAAAAGAGTACGGAAAGCGAGTAAACAGAAATAAAAACACTTGCTTTGTTGGACAAATCTCAACTTTCGATTTCAGCTCTTTGAATTTCTAGAACAATTTATGATTGGTGCTTGTTTTGATAATTTTACTCAAACTTCAGGAAACTGGATCAATAGGTACATTTTTTATTCCACTGAAAATCTAAAAGTTCAACTCCTTTCGAAATTATAAATTGTTCACGTTTTTTTTTGCGCCATTTCCACGTTCGTATTTGGAGAGTGCTATTTAAATAACTTTAAGCAGATGAATTTCAATTGAACTCAAAAAGTGCATGCATACCGAAGTGCATTCATAAATGCATTTATATGTATGAATGCACATCAGTAGTCATTAGAGCATTTTAGGACTTTTGCCTAAAAAAATAACAAAAAATTACCTAGACCTATTTAAGAGTCTTGACTACTTTCATTTCTTTTAATAAAAATAACCAATATAGCAGATACAGCAGACGCTACAGTAGATGCTTGTGCAATGCACAATACGACGAAACAAGTGAAATGCAATGTATTGGGCCGTTTTGCTAAATGAAAAAGTCCAGTATAAAAGAATAAACGAGCCAGCTGATTTGCTAATAACGCTGAGCCATCACTGCTGTGCCATGATTAAACTCTTCATTTAGTTTATAAATGATTTTGATTTCTAGTTCAGCTAGATCTTACTAAATCTGAAGATTAAACATATATTTATTTCACATGAGAAAATAACTAATATTTTGGCCAAGATTTCAATAAATTCGGAATCGATAATTAATAACTACTGAGTTTCCATACAGACTTTAATTACAGGAGAAACTAAAAAGTCCATTAGAAATCCATTGTACACAGATTCGGGTAAAATGAGATCCCTGGTTCCGTATGTAAATGGCTCCCTTTTAAAGCAAACATCCCCCACTTGCTGCATGATTTTGACCAGTTGGGCGACTCGTATTGGGTTTGTGATGACGTCTTTCATGATATTTCTGGTGAGGATATTCTGCTGAAAGTTGTCTTGTAGCACTGGATTGTTGAGGAAGGGTGAATCATCTAAAACAATTTTGGGAGATCAATTGAATATTAAATCGGGAGCGGTGGTGAAGTCGTTACGTCTCCGCCTCTCAATCGACAGGTCGGATGTTCGAGGCCCACCATGATCCGTGCTCGTTGCTTGAGGGTGAGGCAAAATTACCCAGCCCAGAAAAATAACCAAAAAAATGCATGTAGTTCTTAAACAGGGGCACAACAGCGGTTAGCGGTGATGAGCTGCACAGCTCGTATATTGGTCCTTTACCTCGTAAATAAATAGCCTTAATAAACTTAATGATCTGAAGATGGTCAAAACTTACAAATCCTTTTGTGTTTGCATTGCTTTAAAGTTTCAAAGAGTATTTACTCGATTTTTATGTTATTGTGTATATTTTTGCCGGTGTTACGTGAGTAGGAAATGGATACTTCGTCAACGAAATTGTACTTTAATCAATATTAATTACCTGGAATGGTGAAGTAGAAGATGACAGCTCCTCTGTCCGTTTCCCCTCCGGAGCTTTTGAACTCGAAAACCAGTTCATCGTTTAACTCGGGGTCAATTCTGATGAATTGCACTTGGGGTCTGTAAGTGGATGTTTTGTAGTACAGAAAGTACGTATGACCAGATTCTGAAATTGAAAGTTGCAAGAAACCAGACGCGTAACGAGAAACGAAACAAGGCGGTCTATTAGTGTTCCTAACACTAAGTGGTAGGGAATCTTGTATTTGATTAAACTTTAAAACTAAGAAGAACTGAGACAAGTCGTACAAGGCGTGAATGATAATCATATTGAAGCTCCTTTAGTCGTGGTTTGAACTCCAATGAAAAAAGTCTAAGAAGTGATCTCAGAATACTGAAAACCGAATGCACATGGTGATTTTATCTAATTTAGTCACATTATTTTTGATTTTTAGGATAGCTTTGACTGTGCACAAGTATATGCATTAAATAAAAACAGCATCAAAAATGCAAACTAACTTTTGCCTTGAATTGCGATTTCGCCTTGTAGCTCCTCATTTGCACCTATTCTAATTTGAGAAATGAAGATAAGAATGCTCCGAGTACCTCTGGTGACAGAGTCTGGAATTCTCATTTGGCAACTGGAGTCAATAGAGTAATTGTAGGGCCAGTTTGGCGTGGAAAAGGCACCACTTTGACTACCAAGGTTTATGTGCTTGCAACTTCTGTCTAAACGAATAAAAGAGAAAACTGTAAAATTGTCTTCACTATTGTCTCTTGAAAAAACTATGAATCAAAAATCAAGAGAACTACCACCCCTTTTTCGCTGAATCAATAATAGTGATTGCGATTACATGATAATTCATCCAAGTTATATTGGTATACCTATAATGCCTTAAGTTTCAAATTGAATCCAAACTATCGATTTAAATTGTTTTTATGAGAGGGTACAAGTTCTGAATTTTGAAAACGAAAAAATCTCAGCGAAAACCGCAGCTTGAATGATTCCTTCAATGTCCTTGCTTCAAAGTCAGACTTTCTTCGCTCACTTCGATCCTTCCTATACATTCTCGAACTCAATAAAAATTACTCGCGGATGTCTTGCGCTTATCAGAAACACCCAATTTTGATCGCGACAGTCTGGAAATACAAAAACTGGTCCGCAACCGTCTGATCGTAAAACCACAACCACGACCCCGGAACTGATAAACCAGTGATTTTACCTTTGCACCTGGCGATGCTCGATCCAGGGTCATCAGTGCCCATTCCATCTGGACATTTTTCACAGCTCCCATTTCTAGAGAAGTAGTCTTGTCCGCACGACACTACATGCAACACAGAAAACAGGTTGCCATCGGCTTAAATTTGGCGTACTCAATGAATTATCTCAGACATTTAAGATATCGATTTTGCATATTATGTAACAACCCTCAAACTGGACATCTTCTACCCACCTCTATCAGCTTCTAACCTTTGTTTGTGCATTCTGTTCTATCCGGTGACACGATTCCATTTGTACACTTGTGACATTCCCTTCTCCCGTGTCTCGGCTGAAAGTATCCTGGTCGACACTTCTTGCAGCTGCTCTGTGTCTCGTGTGCATTATAGACTCCCCAATGTCCAGGAGTGCACAAGCCTTTAAATTATTTTTGAAAAGTCTAATTGAGTCATGTTTGCAGCCAGATGTTCAGAACATTTCTTAGCAAGGAAGAACAACTATTTAAATTTTTCTTTTCAACCAATAGATTGATGTTCAATGCTTAACTATTAATGATTGCGGCAACGTTTTCCATGCGAAAAAACTTAACTTATTGTTTGTTAGGCTAAATCAAACGGTCATTGCACGCATATCGATGAAAGTTTTGGAAGTTGGCATTTGCGTATGTTTTGTATGTGCCGTCGGTATGATTATTTTCTTCAATCAATAATTTTATAATATTTATAAACTTTTGATTTCTTTTATTTTTGAACATTTTCTGTCGTGAACGAAGGAATGGTATAAGGTGAGTACCTCCACATTTTTTCTGCCCAGGTAATGTAAATCCTGGCTCTGAACATTTCACGCATTGAGTCTTGTCTTCATTTGGCTCGTTTCCAATTCCACAGTCGATGCAGAAACTTCTTCCTCTACTGTCAGATACTGTTGCTATCGTCGGTACTTTGGGGCACCTCACTAAACACGGAATAAAGGTAAATGACAAAATCAGAAAACAAAAAAAAGCAAGAAAATCCAATCTCGACGGAATTTCATCGCATTTTATCTCAATTTGAATTTAAACTAATTATGCCCGAGGGTACATCTTGATAGGCAATAGTACCCGTATCAAATCCGTGATGCTGCAGATTTTGCTGTAAAATTTTTCGCAATTTTTGATATAAACAGTTTTGTAATTTTTGCAGCTAACAGTTTGTAACTGCATCTATAGAAATTCAAACTTAAAATCAAGATTGATATTACTCACGACATGAAGTGACTGATTGATCGACAAACATGTTAGTACTGGGACACTCCTTCTGCTTCATCCTGAGACTGGTGGGGACACTGAAGTATCTCTCGTCCACTCTCGCCTTCCTCAGAGGTCTCACTCTCTTGCTCTTCAGTACCCCACTGGTTAGAACTCGGACGATGTGGCGCTCTATGAAGAATGCCACTGTTGATTTAATCTGATGGGCCGAAGTGACTAGACGCTCGCGAGGACCTACGATCAATGGAAAATTGTCTTAAGAGAACAAATAGGAAAAATATTGGCCTGGACCTTATTATTTTAGTTATTCACTCTTATTTTTTATTTAAAATGAACCACCAAACGAATGTTCTTTTTCCGTCAGATTGATGGGAGAAGTTCATGTAATGAACATGGGATGTTCAAGAGAAAATTGCTATATAAATGATGGCTACAACTGAGTAACTTCGTAATGGATTTTTATTTAGTAGTTTGATGTAATTCTTTCAGGTCGAAAGAAAACTTTTTTCAGTCCATAGCTGATAATAAATGGCAGTAATTAAAAGAATTGAGATTCTGTTATGTATTAAATATCTCACCCAAGTTTGCATACATTTTGACCGGAACTATGAAGAAATATTTATCGTCTTCTCCAAAATGGGTCGAATTTTTTTCGACACACTGTGCGTAAATATTTCCCACATCACATTTGAATGGTTTTGTGCATGTGTCTAGTAGACCTGCGCTAATTAGTTGAGATCGGACTTTTTTCCTGAATGCGTTGCGATTGTGGTTGATGAATTCCGTTGTGGAAGTGCAGAATGAACCACTTAGAGCCACGTGAGCTTCTACTTTCGTGAATATTCGGCCTGAAATTCATGGTTTGACTAAAAAACAACAACAGGTTCCATAAGAAAGAGTTGTTAGTTCGGGTTTACTGGAGACTTAAATCGTTGCAATTAAAGTTTAACAAAGGCCTTTTCAGCGTAATGGAAAAGGCGTATAATTTCATAATGAATTTTCGTTAGTTCAGACAATTTTCATTGCATCATGAAAAATTGCCGTCAAGTGCGTCATTTTAAATAAGAAAAGAACCTTTTCAAAATGTTTACTTAACTCTTTCCCCATTATAAACCTACGCCGAATAAATTATATACTCCCAATATATAAAAATCGTTTGAAGGGTGGCTATACAGGTTTTTGGTAATAGGCTGGGGAAGGGGCTATAATGGGAAACAGTCAATAGATGAAACTTACTTGGCTGATGACAATCAGGTGCCCCCATATAGCCCATCTGGTTCGAATACAACATATCCCCTCCTCCCCTAGTGTACCAGAATGCACCCCCTTGAGACACATTGCAATGCAGAGTGATTGATGTAGGGTGACCGTAGAAGGGGAAGAATGCACTGTGCTCATCACATGTTAGTTCACACTCCTCGTCCCCATTTGGTACTGTTTTACACTTGATTGTCTGATGCTGGGACGGGGTCAGCTGAGGACATTGACTGATTTCTTAAAGGAGAATAACAGCAGTTGATGTCTCAGTGGTTTCTCTTTTTCATTATTCAGAATATTTCGGCTCTGTTTTGCCATTTTTTACTCTGAAACCTTTTGTCCACAATGACAAAGTGTTATAAATCTTGATGTGGCGGACTTATTAAGTAATTCAAAACATTATTTGGTCCTCATACCTAACCTTTGTAAAAACCATTTTTCTCCATGAAATTGATGCTTAGATGAAGTGGGTAGGACGGGGTTCGAAAAAGCTGCAATATTTCCAAAATAAGTGTTTTATGACTAAAAAGATCGACTAATATTTCAAATACACCCAATTTGAACATCTTGATTGACTTGAATTTATAAAAAGTGTGATATGCGGTTGATTTTATTCGAAATATCACTAAATTAGCAATCTTGGCAGAAACGATTCACAAGAGTTTTGACACAAAACTGAATGTCTATAACAAGAAAAACTGGAGCACAGAACTTAAATCGTGGTTTAGCATGCTACCATGGAAACTAGATCTCACCTCGGCAACTGAACATGTTTGCGTGCAGCAGATATCCTTGCTTGCATTCACAGGCGAAGCCTCCTTCTCTGTTGACACAGAAGTGCTCGCAGCCTCCGTTGTCTCCCAAACGAGTGCACTCGTCAATGTCGAGACAGTGCTTTCCGCCAAACAGTTCGTAGCCCCCCGAGGGACAGTCGCAGTGGTAGGAACCAAATGTGTTCACACACAGGTGGTCGCATAACATACGTCCGAGGAATCGGCACTCATCAATGTCTGGAACATATAAATAATGCTCATATTCAACTTTATGATTTTCTTATAAACTTAACTACAATTAGAAACTAATTTCAGACCCGTCTGAACAAATAACTTCACTGAATTTTTTTTTTGGCCTCTTCTCTAACAAAGAAAGGAATTAACTTGATTAGAACGTTGACCTTTCAATGAACTCAGTATCAATTTCACACGTGTTCGCGTTGCATATACCGTCGAAAAATTAGTTCGATTGAATTTTATATATTAGCATCATGTCAAGCTCCTCGGAGGCAATATACAGCGGCGGGTCAGTGGCTTCAAGTGCAAACCCATCGCCCCCCGTCTCCACTTCCGGTTCACGAACAGTCAGAACTCAAATCATGAACATGCAGCTTAAGCCCAAACAGTGGGATGTGTTCCAGGCAAAAGTACAACAAGCAGAATGCCTGAGTTGCAAATACGTAAAAACTTTTTCTTGAAATTCCCAATTTCGGGCTTCTGCTTTTTTGTCTTCTTTTGGAAAAGACACAGAGTTATGTCGTAAATAAAGACAAATTAATACTTTACCTTTATGAGGAAATGGGAAACTGGAAAATACATTTTTAGATCGCTTACAGTTCTTTTTGGTTCTCCCCACTAAACATCGGCATCAATTTTATGGCGTGTAGATGGCGACCTTACAAGGATAAACAAGCAGATCAAATATGTATGGGCTATTTCGTATGCGTAATGTTACGAAGTGAAGTATGAAGAAGAAATCAGTTCACATTTTTTGCTGGCTCACCGTGCCAAGATTTATTGCATTAGGACAGTGTAGAAGTTTTTGAAAATTGGAACTTAAAGTTAGTGGGAAGGGGTGGAAAAAAGCTCAATTATGGGCTTTTTCCACCCCTTTCATATTAATCAGGCTTAGTTAGCAAGTTCTACTTGCAAGAAATCACAGGTACGATTGAAGCAGAAAAAAAATTGAAGTACTAGAGTCAGTAGCGGATTTGGGGGGGGGGGGGGGGGGAGGCGGACGCCCTCTATTTTAGGGATTCGACCCCCTGCCGACCCAAAGGGTCCCCCTTTGTACTATTTGGAGATATCCATATTGGCTCTTTTCCAGTTTCCCCCCCTTTCAAATTTAATTTTGAAAAACTTATTTAACGTTGTCATAATGCAATGAAATTTGGCGTGGTGAACAAATCGACAACAGTGAACAGATTTGTTCTTCATACTTTACAGCGTAACATCACGCATTTAGCCGTAATAACACGCAAAACAAACATAAAACTCGGTATTTTGAAAGGGGGGGGGGGGGGGACTGGAAAAGAGCCTCCATATTTGCTGACGAACCCTAAAAATTTTCTAAAAGCGCCTTGGGCGCCAATCTATACTAATTTTGAGGTAGGAGCGCGCGCCGAAAAAACGCGATTTTTTGGTCGAAATTTTCCAAAAAGTGCCTAAAACGCCTTTTTTTGACTTTTTTCAAAAATTTGCCTACGGCGCACAAAATTTGGTCAAATTAGTGTTTTTATAGTGGTTTGGGAGAGCTCAGAAAATCAATTTAGTCGACCAAAAAAAAGGTCGACAAAATTTTTAATTTTTTTTGAAAATCCGCCCTCCATCCCCCCCCCCGAGAAATTTTTAGATCCGCGCCTGACTAGAGTGACGCTTTGAATGTTCCGAATGTCCTTCCACGTCTATTGATTGTTTTTCTTTTAAGAATCATCCCCTGCACGCTATTTAAAGTACCAAATGATATGCAATTCAAATAATTGAAATAACTAACATACTTTAATTGAACTTGAAACATTTTTTGAGCCGGATTATATCGCCGCTCAAGCACTAGTAGCAAAAAAAAACATATTTTTAGTAGCTAGATTCTATAAAAAAACTGAGAGTGATCTCCAAGTTTCACTACAGTTCTTGTACATGTATAATTTTCAATAAAATATTCCGGAAAAAAGCACGCAGATTTTTTTTCTAGACAAAGGTGAAAAAATTTAAAATTTTTAGCTGTTTTAAAATTTCCCAATTTTCCAATGTGCGTTAACTTCGTTAAAAAAATTGATTTGATGGGCTGCATGATTATGTATCGGCAATCTTTTGTGTAAAATGATTTAAATGATGCAGTTTTTGTTTGAAGATTCTTCTTTACTCATTCAATGAAAAATATTTCGATAAATTGTGTTTAATCTTGAAATGAGTTTTTTTAAATGAGATTTTTTGAGATCCATATCCTTTTGCAATTCTAATTACAAGAGACTTGTGTTTCCTACTAATTTAATTTTTTCTCTTTAATTACAACGTTTTTTTAGGTTTATTCATCGAATTAGTAATTATTCAAAACTTTCGAAGAATGTGAGGAAATAAGTGTGCTCGGGGTGTTTTGGTTCTCCAGACAAGTTTCGACTTGTTAACGAGTCAAAAATTGACTTTTTGGCAAAAATTGTTCAAATCTCTCGAAAAGTATTGTTGCTCTGAGCTCACTTTTTATTATTTCACCTGTTATTTTTTTTTGTTAAGTTATGGCAGTTTGGGACAACTAGTGTTTTTGTTTCCGAGCCTAGCTTTTTCGTAACTAAACACTCCAGACAAACAACACAAAAAAAAACATTTTATATCCAAAAAAAAAGTTTTTTTTTCTGTTTCAGCAATCGGGCTGCCATCTAGTTTTGCAAGAGGAGGGATCCGAGATCAACGTGCGAACAAAGATGAAGCCTCAAGCTCAGAGCTGCAGGACTGTTCAGACTGTCAAGAAGATAATGACTGTTAAGCCAACCTGTTACGACCATGCAAAGAGGACAATTCATCAGCGGATATTCCTCACTGTAAACAATTTTTATTATCTTACTTTAGAGTAAGCTGGACCGCAAATACCCATCATAAGGGGTGAATTTAGGGGAGGGGCAAGGTGAAAGCATCCTACCCTCCCCCCCCCCCCCCTCAGAAAATTGGTATCTTCAACGCCCTAGTTTCCTCCTCTAGCATTATTTGCCATCCAGTTTTGGCCTAACAAACTTTTTCCCGGTTTTTTGTCCAAAATTGTCTTAAAAACCCTAAACTGGCATTTTTGACCCATTTTTCAGAAATTCGTCTATGGCGCTGAATAGGAAAAAATGGGGTTTTTTTGACTTTTTCAGATATCTCGTAAAAATTATTGTTTTAAAAAGCATTCATCAAAAAGTTTAGAGCTGTTTCGAACGTTCTAGCCTCTGAGAAATTCTAAGTCCATATTTACTCAATACTATTTTCAGCATTTTTTACCGTTTCCGCCGGTAATCTTGTTATTTAACGTTAACCTGTGAATTACGTTATCCTTGCCTGAGTATATTCTTACCCCCCCCCCCCCCCCCCACCCAGCATCGCGCACGATCATCATTTTTATGAATTGGCACAGATTTCGTCCTACTACAGACTTCTGTTGAATTTTAATCTGTTGAAATTAAAATGGGACGACATCTGTCATGGGACGAAATCTGTCACAGCCTTTTTATGATGTAAGTGTAACGACTGGTTTTACAAGGTTCAACATGAAAAGCAAACATTTTTGTCATGGCCTGCAACTAGTCCGCTTATCAACTTTTTAACAATCAGACAATGTGAACAAACTTTTTACTTGTAAAAACTCGCAGGTGGAGGGAAGGGAAAAAATCTGAGTGTTTTGAATGTTGGCATGGGTGGTAACAGTTCCCACCTATTTTGTCTTGATTCACAACATTGTAAACTAATATTCTACCCATAAAATCTTTTTTTGGGTGGTGCGGGAACAGTGAAAGATTCCTAAGGACTTCACGTATTATACTGCATAAGGAATTCACTAGGACTTTACGCGTGAATTTAAAAGCAATGAAAAAAGTGTGTTCAGAAAAAAATTTTGTTCTCATGAAAAATTTCTTTACCTTGTGGTAACTGCAGCTGTTCATTTCGGTAGTTTGAAAGTAAAAAAACTGCAGGTTAACGGGGCTTAAAAACGAGCCTCAAATTTTAGTACGTAGCCTAAGCGGAACTTATAAATCGTCAATGGTGAGAAACGGACTAGTTGTCTTTCGAGAATCGATCAAGAATTACAAAAGCATTAACGTTCTCCTCATTAACAGGTTAAAGTTCTTTCGAGGCCTGCGTAACTATCAGAAAATGTTCCGTTTTTTTGGAGCAATCATCAATTTTTCATTTTACGAGACTCATGTGCGTTGTAGATAGAAGCGATACAAGAGAGTTAATCTGAAAACTTTTATTGAGATCGATAAGAATGATAATTTGCATCGAAAATAGTCCGTAAATATGGCCGTTATCATTAAGAAAAAATACATAGGAGCACGTTGCTATACAGGGTAAATGTTTATATCGTTTGCAGGATCCTATTATTGATAATTGTTACGAATGGTTTATTAGACCTTTATAGCATTGAATTCATAATGAAATGACTAATATCAAGGAAAACTGTTATGCCCGATCTTTTTGACAGTTGGTGAAATTCGATCATATATCAGCGACAACTAAAAACATATAATCAAATCATATTTAATTCAGCTTCTTTAGGGCTAGTTCAGCTTCAGTATTTCAGCTATTTTCGTTATTTAAACTAAATACTTCGACTTGGTTGAGTTCTCAAGTCAACACTAAGTCCCTCTTTTCAAAAAGAACCTGTCATCAGAGATTTTCAATTATGTTTCGTGTTTTTTTTCGGACTCTTGATTTTCTTTGGTCTTAGCTAAGTCCACGACATATTTATTATTTGTCGTTGGTGAAGATCAAAGTTTTCTATCACGTTGTTCTCGATTTCAAAATCTCCAATTCTTGTTTCGTATACTTTTTCTCTTTTGACGGAATAGACTGCTTTTGCTAACGAGAGCAGGCTATTTTAAATAATTGCCGTGCACATAAACGATTTTGTTTCCACATCAAAAATAGAGTTTTTGCTTTAGTGTGTTTTTAGCCAAAACTATTTTTGTTCGCAAACGTCAAGTTTTATGGAAAAAGACTATGTGATTTCATCATCAAGAACTTGTTCTTCAGGCTTTTTTGATTTT